TAAAATTCAGGAAGTCAAAAAATCATGGACTTCTTCAAAATGTTCTCAGACGAATATTTTTTCGAAAATTTATTAAATTATTTCTAGAAGCTAGTTTACCAAATAAATCAATATGAAACCCGTGCATGGCATCTAATTTTATAAATAAAAAGCCTCGAAAATACTTCATCACATTTCACAGTTCAGGTCAAGAATTTCTTCGGAAATTCAAATTTCAAGTCGAGATAATACAGTACTGCATATTAATGCTGCAAATAAATTATTGATTGGTCAATTTATAAATTTCGGAACCGGTTTTGAATTCACAGACTTTTTCCCTGGGAAAAACTTTTTCGAAGCTTCGGCGAAATTTCTCTTGAAAAATCAAAAGATAAACGAATAAAACTCTTCATCAAATACTTGATTATTCTGGCCAAAATTATTTTCATAATCTTGACCAATTATTTCTCAGATCGAAAACAAAACCATGACTCACGAAGGAAAATATACAAATTTCCAATCAAATTCAACTCAACTCGTAACGCTTGACAAAAACAAAAAGAAAAATTCCCCCAGAAAAAAAGTAGGATTACGTAATTTGAGACACCAAAAAGTTAAAAATTCCTTCGGACCCCAGGAATGAAAAAATAAGCAGGCGAAGCAAACACGGTGGATTGAATCGTCACGGAAGTGACCTCGGGGGGTCCTACGCCAGGTCACCCGTCTCGGAGTCCCATTGTCAGCGACCGGCAAGGCAAACATAACATAACTTCTCTTTCGCACCGTTATTTTCCTCACACAATCCCACTTCCGTCTTCAATACAAGTTTCCGCATTTTTTCCTCAATCTCCCATTTCACCCTGACGCAATAAAAATATGTTTCCTTCCAAATACAGGGGAACTCCTTTGTCTATTACGATTTTTCTCTTTATAACAAATTTTTCGCGGTCCCGTACTTTTTTTTTCAACGGAGGGTTCTCTACAACGAAATTCTCTCTGCAACAAATTTTTTTCTGATCACTTGAGCTTCGTTTTAGAGAGAGTTCACCTTTATCACAATTATAAAAATAGGTAGACAACACTTGAAAAATTAGCCAAATTGTACCCATTAATTTCGCTCAATCCACCGGCTTTTTTCGGATAAAATGTAGCTTTAAAAATCTCACGGGATTCGTGGAAAAGGTTGCCCGTAAATTTGGAAAAGGATAAAATAAATTCAGCACAGGTGAATATTTTGGGACTGCCCCCCCCCCCCCAAAAAAAAACCTTGCCACTGACCTAAAACAGATGACAAATTAATTTCTGTTATTGTCTTCTAATAAAATAAAAAAATCAATTCAGACCAATATGCTCTGATTGATCCAAAAAGTCGGAGGAAAACGAGCTCAAAAATTAACTCACTCGGCCATGAGTGGTCAGATGCCCCGTAATAATGAAACCCTTCAAATTTAACTAAGAAGGAAAAAGTTTCGTCGCCCAAATATTTCAAATATGAATAATAAAATTTAAAACTTCCATTGGACAGCAAATAAATAATGGAATCGTCCACCAAAGAGCCGCGCGTCTCGCCTCATCCAGATCACAACTCTCTTTACCTTTTTTTCTTTCTCTTCATCCCACACTGAAAGAAAAAAAAATTTCCAAGAAATTGAACGCTTCGTTTTGGGAAAAAAGGAAAAAAAATGGAAAGCAGGGTCAATTACACTGAACGCGAAGAACGAGGCAGTCGTGAACAAGAGTCTTTGTCGCCGCTCGCGGGTCCTAGTCACAAAAAGGGCTTGACCCCGGAAATAAATCCGGACGTGATTGCTGGACACATATCCAGCACAATTCCGAAAAGCAACGCACCAGGTGTTTCTTCCCCAAAGTCCTGCCAGGTTTGTTCGTGGACTGTTTAACTCAGGAATGTCTCAAATGCTTAATTTCTTCATGACAACTTTTTTTTAAATATTCATTTAAAAATATTTTATACGCCCCAACATTTTTGCTGAAGTCAACTTAATCGTGAAAAACTGTTCCCACTTTTTCCTCAGTTACTTCGATGATTCAATATTGAAAAAATCGACTGAGGATTAAGAACTTTCGCCAGCGAATTAAGAAAAAACATTACTTTTACGCTTCGACTTAGAAATCGTCCAATTTACCTTTATGATTTAAGTCAGCCAGTTAGGAACGTTTAAAAGTTAGTAAGAAAAGACGTTAGGCTTTTAAGATCGTCGGTAATCTTAAAATATTTATAGGAATTCTTTTCCTGAACGTTTATATAAACCTTTTGGAAGCTTTTTTGACTTGACAGAAACGTCAAGGAACCGACAAATTAAAAATGAACGAAACAGAATCCGAAATGTCTCGCCGTATCTTTGTCGAAATAGTCATCCGACGTTCTCTTTCGTAACTCAATAATAATTACCGGTGATTGCTCATTACGTAATGTTTGGATGTATTTAGTGATTTACTTTTGAAAAACTCCCATTAAGAAAAAACAGGATCTCGAAATCTTTTTCCTTTCCCAGGTTTTTTATTTTCTAAACCCAGAACTCTCGACCCACTTCACCTTAATTCTCGCAAAGGTCAGATTCTGAGAGTCGCATTCGCAGGGAAAGAATTCCGAAGGGAACCCGTCTCGGGTTTCTCCTTCGTTTTTGAGGGTTCGGTTTTCCGTGAATTGAAAAAAAAAAAACTAACCTGTGGGTTCTTGTCGTCTCCGTCGTCCCAGGATGACCAAAACTCGACTTTGAGACCTGATTGTTCAGTCTTTGGGCCATAGCCAACGATTTCGAGTCCGAGGGCTCTGCTTGAAATGGACTCGACCTCGTACGACCATTGACCAGTCTGCCAAAAAAAAAAAAAGAAGAAGAATGCAAAAATGCAAGTGAATAACACATTAAACCATCACAGATACTCCAGCGAATATTTCACAAGATAATCCCATAGAGAATGACGAGGGACGAAAATATTCTACAAGTCTCACGAGAAAAAATATCTGCTTACGAAACGGGATTTCAGCAGATAAAATCACCGAAAGTTTCATTTTCAAGTTCTTCGACAAACAATGCGCAAAAAAGAGTGAAAATTTAAACTTGAATCATATAAAAAATATGCAATACAGTTTTTGAAATAAATGAATTAGGGCATCCGATTTCGAAATCTCAAAAATAAAACAAGACAGATCACTGACTAACATATTCAAATACTTCTTGAAGTTCTCACACAACAAAATCATCGTATTTTCAGATCAAGAAAAATAATAAAACGGGTATCACATCCTTTCAAATGAAAATAATATCCCCGAAGAAAATAGATCTCAAGAATAATAAAAAAAATACGAGGGCCTCAAAATAATTTTTATTCCAAAAGGAAATTCGCAAATATCTGCGACTCAACAAAAATGGCGCCACAGAAACCCCACAGACCAAATTTTCTAAAATAGCACCCCTCGTTAACTAATGAACTTATTTCACTCGATTTAAAAAAAAAAATCATCTGAGAATGGCGGAATTCTGCCCAAAATAATTTCGCAATACATTCTTAAAAGCATAAACTGCACGAAAAAAAAAAAACGTGTCACGCACGCGCAATTGCGAAATTGAGATGGAGCACATTTATCAATGGAACTTGAATAATCCAAGTCTGTTTTCAAAAATCCTCACAAATAGAAAAAACTCAAATCGTTTTTAATTTAGATGGAGCTCATCGAAAGTACGAATGGGAAACTTCACGGCCTTCCATACATTTCATTCCATTACAGAAAAATAAAAGAAGTTCGAAGCATCGGAATAATTCCAGAAATTGCACAACCCTCGCAATCTCATACTAATTTATTTTCATGTTCGAAAAAAACACGTTAGGAATTGCACACAGGTATTCAGCGGATGTTGCGATTCAAAACAGAAAACATTAAATAAAAATAAAAACAATCTCGTTAAGGGGGTAAACCGAGCGTACTCCTAACCTTAACCGCCGTGCACCTCAGTAAACAAAGCTGGACCAAGGCGTTGACCCGTACCCTGTGTTAATGACTCATGAAAAGGACAGTTTGCGCAGGGCGTTCCTGAATCTACTCATCAGTCAACATTCCCTCGAACCACACAAACATTTGTCATGGCGGATTATCCACATGTCTGAACCCCGACCGCAAAGAAGGGTTTCTCCCAAACTTTCTTGCATGAAGCAGCTAAATTATCACATTCATCTGGCCACTAGTTTTATCACAGTACATGAGTACAGTAAAACCTCTCAAAATTGCAAAAGAATCTTTTTCCAGAGACCAAAGAAAACTTTTCTGGGCACCAAGCAGATGTCGCTCGCATCCTCAATTTCCAAAAAAACACACAAAACCCGACCACAAACTCAATGCAACAAAAACTAAACATGGACTAATTAAACCAAAAACTGGAGAAAAATCAACTAAATTGAATCTAAAAATAATCTACAAAGCTGCACGGCAATTTCAAGTGAAAAGAATAAATTCACGCCATTTTCCAAAGCTTTGAAATTATCTCCAAGAAAATTTTGAAGCCTGCATGTTACACCAACCATAGATTTCACCTTCATTCAGAAAAAAAACATGAATACCGTAACATAAAATTTTTTTCACATGAAGCCGAGATTTAGCAAATTTAAAAACAAGTGTTATCGGAACCCCGATAACGACTGAAAAATATCCAGGAAAGTTAAAATTGCCGTCAGAAATTGAATTTCAAATAATGCACGTTGCAAATTCAGCAGAGTGCTCTTCGAAACATTTGAAATTTGGTACTGAGACGTACTCGAAGTTCGTCAAGCAAGTGAGAATCAGTCCCGGAAAGTACAGAGCTTCAAATTCAAGCCAAAATGAATAATTCGCCTGATTGTTCAGTTGTTTGAAATTTGAAAAAGACGTGGGGAATCCACGTCCAAATAATGTATTACGAGAAACCAAAAAATGCAAATGATACCAGCTAATCTAAAGACAACATGCACCAGAAAAAAGTCAACAATACAAGTAAAACGTGGAGGCAAAAGTCTAATTTTTCTTCACGGCATTTGTCTAAAAGAAAAATTCGAGGACTTCAGTACAGTACTGCATCAATTTTCCACCTACCCAAAAAATTGATTCGGTTTGCTGATGAATAAAACACGAAAAATTGTTCATACGATTCCTCTTATCTTAAACAACTCATTTTTTTACTGCTCTAAAAAGGTTCTAAAACTTTCAACCCAAACCAATCAATTGAAGGAAAAACTTTTTCAATATTTCAAGGTGAACATGCCGACGAACAAGAAAAATTCAGCAGCCACCAGTTTTTCCCCTCTGAAGCACCCAAATTACCCATGAAAAATAGCGCCCTTCTCCAACGAAGAATGTAACCCCGGAATAATTACCCCGCTTCTTCGCGGAATTTTAAAAGTGGGTCCGAATGACTCGGCTTTGCTTTAAAAAATATCAAAATAAAATTCAAAAAATTCCAGAGACATTTGAATAAGTGCAGTGAACTCTTATCAATAATTTAATTCAAGCAATAATTCAAATGCATGAGATTATTTCCAAATGAAAATTCAACGTCTCTAGCACGACGATTTTTCCCGTCATCGCATAGATGTCGTCTCATGCATTTTTCATATTCGAATTTGATCATAAAAGGTCAAGGGATTTATGATTTATGGATTCGTTCATTTGAAGTATGTTTGTAAAAGTACAAGTTAGGCAACGTGTAGTTCCAGGAAAATTCCAGTACATGAAAAATTCAAGGGTTGTCAAGCGTCAAAGTGAGAACTTAAATGTACAAAGCTGCTGATGCTCTTGGAGATTATTTCTTGCAAAACCTCTTTTTTTATCGGAAAATGGGATCCGCTTTCTTTGTTTGTAAAAATATAAATTCACGAGAGACAAAAAAGAAGCCTTGTCAATAAAATTGCCTCACTGAGAAAGCCGTTCTATGTTCGCTTTGGCGGCTCGAAAAATAAAATCGTCGATTTCAAGGGCCCTAAAAGTTGTTTCGAAACATTTTTAATAGCCATACTTAAACATGGACCCTTTTTGAGGAGCGGTGGAAAGAATAATGAAATAACCCGGGCTTCTTTTGATGCACCGGGGTCGGCTATTAAACTTTTTAAACCCTGGAACCCGAAAGAAACGAGTACCCGATGAGTCCCCAGCGCTAATTAAGCATAAGATTTCCGCGGGGTTTCATTTTAAATGTGCCCACACACTCAGCACAGATGGAATTTTCCCGGGAGATGGAATTCCTCGGGCTCTATTTCCGGAGAAAAGGTTGCCTGTGGTTTCGAGATTGAAACCCCGGCGAAAATCGCATCCCCTTGGTGGGTTTCGCGACATCAAAGCGAGAAACTTGTCTTTGAAGAAGAATTCTCTTCTCATTTCAGTCCCGGGAAAATCCCATTTATTCTCAACTGGGGTCTCGGAGATAGTCTCAAATATTCAATATTCGAAAAAATAAAAATGAAAACTTTCAGAACTTCGGCAACCACTTCTTTTACAATTTTAAAGCTCTCGTGCACGTTTCTCCTAGTATATGTTGCTTGGGTTGTCTCACAGCTACGCGTCCTCAGCATTTATGACGCCTTAGAAAATTAAATAAAAATTCAAAAAGTCACTCATGATGATCTACGCGTTTGAAATATTTAAAAATAAGATTTTTAGAACCTTTTTCAAGATAATCTATAACGGAAAGGGACAAGTTTCCAGCTTTAAGAGAGTTTTCCACAGTACATACGCTAGATATATTTTATGAAAGTGTAAAAAGAGACATTTTGTTGTCGAGCAGAAAATTTTATCACTCATATCTGCTAAAAAAAATTTATGACATTTTTTTAAAGATAAGTTCTTTTGTAAAACAAAAAATGCAACACTTTTCGAAGGTTGGCAATAACAAGGTGCTCATTTATAGTTTTCCTACTTTTTCTCGCAGTCCTTGCCAAAAATGTCTCTACGTCCCATAGTAGTTTAATTTTCAGTGGCTAAAATTTGATTTTAGGCCACGCTGACAGAATTTATCATTGTAATAGATAAGCTAAAAATAAGTCTCACATGACTTGAAAATGCATTTTTGAGAAGTATCTCTTTCTTGAGTACAACAAAAATCTTAATTCGTATTTTTTTTTTAAGGAATTTTATTACAGTTTCGCAAAAGTTTTTCGCGGAACCTTGTTTATTGCGCAGTTATTGGAACACAAACAGAGACACAGTATTTTTCTAGAAGGTTCGAAAGGAAATATGAGATAGAAAAAAAATTACACGAGGGAACAAAAGTACATGTATCAGCATTATTTGGTAAACAGAAGCTTCGACCCCCAAGGGGTTTCTTCAAACCCCCAGAACCCAACGCGCTTTGAACTTCACTCGTTTCCGAATGCATCCGAAGGATCCTTCAAGGATCCCCAGAATCATGAATTTCATGAATCGAAATTTCCTCTACGTGAAACATTGACTGCGGGTCACTAGCTAAAATTTTTTCCCTTCTGAAATGTACATAAAAAAAACGGCACAGAACCGCGATTTCACTGAAAATGCAGTATAGAAATTTCATTGAAAGCTAGAAAGCAGCCTGGATAATTTAAATTTGAGCAGCTTCAAGTTCCTCCAATAAACTTGAATTTTACAAAATATTCATAATAGAAAATGCGCATCAACATTATCGACACGAGAAAGCAATCAAAACTTTAGTAAACCGACCAACATATGCATAATTTTGAATTAGGCCGATTTATCAAATTGCTGATATTTCCAGAAAGTGTTACCACAAACATGCTGCATATTTTCAGCATTTTTTTCTTTATTTTCTTTCCTGGAATGTATAAAATCTGTTTTTTAATTCACTATCGTGAGAAGCTATTAGTTTTCAGGAGTGTTTTATTTTGCCCATTTAAATTTTTGGTGCGTTTTTAATTATAATTTATATTTTTCAAACAAAATATTGTGCCTGAGTTGTTCGGAATTTGATTTTCTATGGAAGGTATTTTCTGGAATTTTTAAAAGTAAGATTCTCAATCATGTTCCGGGCTGATCAAAATGTCAATATTTTACACCAGGCATTTCACAACTCGAACCAAGACGAAAACACGAGAATTGAGAATGACAAATCAAACTATTCTGATAATTTTGAGGAAAATGCCAAGAGAGAATGATGGAGGGAATAATCTCTGAAATTCACGGCAATGTCGGTGATATCGCTTCAGGTCATCTTTGATTATTATTTTTTTCATCCTTGAGTATATTTCCTTATATTTTACCATCGATATTGACTGTGTTTTTCATCAAAACATGCCGTAAGATTCGTATCACAGCGACTCGTCGACCTTCGGCCAGAACAGCGTTTCAAATCGTCATTAAATCTAATTATCTCTCAGAATCACCATCCCAAAATCCGGTGTATTCCTAAGACTCTGTCCCAAAGAATTCATTAAAATGGTGATCCAATAAAACTGTCCATGGTTGCGAAGTTTTATGGTCATCGTCATTTCAATGGCAATATGCTTTTTATCAGATGAAGAAAGGTCCGAAACTCGCTCTTCGAGAAAATCAAATGGATCCATCATCTCTAAAAATTGAATTTACAACTAAAAATTAATCCTGGAAGGTTTGTGTAGTTGATTAATCAGAATGATGAGGATGGCATTCGTTCTGGAAATGTTCAGGCGCAGAAATTATCCGAACGGGTTTGAAATGTGAAATTCGAAAACCACGACTTCCTAAGCCCTGGATTTGTTCAGAGTAGTTGATTAATCAGAATGATGAGGATGGCATTCGTTCTGGAAATGTTCAGGCGCAGAAATTATCCGAACGGGTTTGAAATGTGAAATTCGAAAACCACGACTTCCTAAGCCCTGGATTTGTTCAGAGGAAATAGTAAAAATACTTCGGAAGTGTTGCTGACAGTTGAATTAATTGAGTTCTTGACAAAAGACTTCAAAGCTTTCAGTATGAAGTAAACGCTTCTTTGCTGGTTTTAGACCTGTAAAGTGCTTATTAAGAATTATGTCAGCTCTCTTTTTCAAACATCATTTAACTCTTTTTTATTGCGTCCTCGGTTTGATTAAATTTACGATATTAAAAAAAAAAGGAATTTACACCAAAGTTTCGTTTTATTCTAATTTCAACAGTTTTGAACTCATATTGACCGAATTTCTCAGACGTGATTGTATATTAGACACATCTTTCTTCTTCGTCAAATTTTCGGCGAAAAAAGTGAGACACATCGGACCTACTTTACGCATTTTCAACGACAAGCTCTGAAAAAATCTTTTAGGAATTAAAAAATTTGAAAGTTGACGAACATAAAATTTTTTCCAGTTTAAATTAATGCAACCCCTTTTATTTTAATTTTTTAAAATTGTATTTATTTTTTATTTTTATTATTTGCATCATTATTTTTTTTTCGAGAAAAAATATGTATTTTTTTTCGAGAAAAAATAATGTTCGTTTCGACTAATTACGGCACTTCGAAAAATCAACTTCTCTTGAATCATTATTCAATTCAACTTGAGAACTTTTAAATTGAAAAAGATTGCACTCTTCAGAAACAAGCTTTCATTTTTAACAAGATACCATCTTAAATAATGATACACCCGTGTTAATTTCGCCGCATAAAAAAAAAACATAATTGTCGTGGAAAACCAGCTTCGTTCATTTATTTAAATGTGGTAAAGAATTCGAAATAAATGGACTCACCTCGATGTGAGTCTCCACGCGGATGACGTCTGCTACGTAGGGCACCTTGGGCAACAAAACCCGATCATACACTTGTCCGGTAGGCGAACGAACCCGGACGGAACTCGGGGCCTCGTTTGACGGGTAATGGGCAACAAAAAGCAAGCCCTGGTTTATGGATGAGTCCACGTAGAAGGAGCCAGACATCACGTCATAGGGTTTCGTGGGACGAAACACCTTGTGCATCAACTGCAAACAACAACAACAACAACAACCCATTTCTCAAAGTCAGTTCCCACTTCCTGCAAAAACAAGATAGGCGAGTACAGTACTGCGAAATTCCGAGATACAGTAATCACTACATTATCACGCTTCAGCCTTGCAATATCTGTTGTCTTCTTATCCGAGCCAATCTCAGTTAAAATTAATTTAGAAAATTAATTAGATCCATGCGTATATCGCACAAAGGTTATTTTTTTTTAAATACTGTTTGCCGATTTCAGAGAAATCCCACTCGCTGAATTGAGACACTGAATTGAAGAAAAACCACTCAGTTGTCAGCGCTTTAAGAAGAGAACTTAAAATATTTTTTTTAAACTGAGATACGATTCTCTAAAGAAATTTGATTTTATTTTTCAGTGGTGGATAAAAAATAATTCATTTTTTTCCTTTACGGATTTCATGTCATCTTACTTTTGATAACAAATTAAGTCGAAAACGTTATTGTCTTCGTGTTCTTTTAAGGATTAGGATGAATTTCACATACAAATAAGGGCTTCTGGAATTATGTAAACTCTTAGTATGTCAGTTCAGAATATTCAAGTGCTTCTAAGATTCAGGATGACGCCAATTATATGAACAACACAGAAAATAGACCGGGGTCAGGAAATGAAACAAGGGAGTTTCAATATTTTCTAATTTTTTTCCAGCTATCATAAGAAATTACAGCTTAGTTTTGGGTCAATGAGTATTTCATATTCACTTGAATATCACACTCCCTGGAATAAGAGGCGCACCTGGATTTTTCTGACAAAAAATTTGGACAAGAATCTAACCCCAGTAATACATGCACATCTTTTCTAACGAGACTGAAAATTTTAAATTAATTTACTTTTAAATTTAAACACATCAGACTTCGGATATGTATTTCAGTTGTACACGATTTTCATTAATTCTCAATTTTTTCAATATTGTTAAAATGGGTCCAAAATTTTTTTTAGTTGCATGTATGACATGCGTTTAGACTATAGACACACTAAAATTTAGTAAAATTGTAATACTGACCCCCACGTGCATCCTCCAATTTTTTTTCTTGATTTTGAAACTTCTGTGCTAAAAGGTATTAATTTTAAGGCTTTGACTTGATTTCATTTTAATATATTATTTTATTAGGCGATGCAATTAAACCGCATAAATACAGTATATATATATGTTCAGCTCACCTTTGAAGGATTGTTGATTTGAAACACGGACTCATAAAAGCTCAGCAGTTCCATAAACGCTCCGGCATCATCATCCGGGTCCTCGACAGCAGAAAACCTGCCCCCGGACTTGGTCGCCAGGTCCTTGAGCAACCCGTTGACCTGTTGCCCCAGTTGGATCCCATGCACTCTCGTGCCACCGGCAATCATTTGCTCGAAAATCGGGTCCC